TAGTGGTGGCAAAAGTCAGGGAGACTCTGGAACTGAGCAAACAAACATTGCACAAATTTCATATTGAGAGGTTCAGTATCAAGAAATTAAACAAGGCTGAGGACAAAGAACAGTATCAAGTTGACATCTCTTAATACATTCACAGCTTTGGAAAACGTATAGGTTGATATTAATAGAACTTGGGAAGCTATCAGAATATTGTAACAGATTTCATAAACGTGGTGCAAGGCAAGAGCACTATAAATGTGGTCCAATATGCAACAATGGAGGAAGCTGTGTTTCCTGTACATCCAACTGACACACAGAGAGACTGGCTGGATAGCGATCACGTGATATGTGTGTACTGTAGGTCCCTGTCCATTCTGCGGCTATATAAGAGTGACAGAACTCGTTCAGGGCACTTATTGGTCGTTAGCTGGAGTGAGTCCAGAACAATTTTTAGTTCTGAGGTTCCAAAATGACTGAAGATGAAATAGCAAGAAGACTTCATAGTGATTTGAAGTGCTAATTCCTGTGTTGAGATCAGTTGCTAGGAAGCTAGTGGAAACTGATAATCCTAGTGCGTGTGCAATGGACTGGAAAGTGTATAAGTAGCAATAGCGCTACAATTACATGTACTTACTGGTGGTATCAGGACTAAATAAACCCATTCATCCAATCCAGAACCCACATTATTAATCACTAATACACGTGACAATATTAAAATTTCAGCCAAAGAATAGGTTATTATGAATTGAAGAAGCATAAGCCATGCTTCGATGAAAGATGCTAACAATTATTAAATCAAAGGAAACAAGCCAAACTGTAGTGGTTACAGGATCCAAGCCAAATAAATGGGTATAACCTGAACAGTATAAGGTGTGGAGCCAGCAGACATTTCAAGAATAAAATGAGGGAATATCTGAAAGACAAAATTAATGACCTTGGAACAGATGGTATGAACAGGAACATTAGAGATATGTATAGATGAATAAATTAACTTAAGAAGGGTTACCAACATAAAAGTAACTTAGTAAAGGATGATAATGGTGATCTGCTTGCAGATTCCTGCAACATTTTGAATATGTGGAAAAACTGCTTCAAGTAGGAAGTGAAACATTATGGTCTGAGATTCATAAACTCTTTATATCCGAGTAAGGAAGAATTCCCTGATCAGCGGAAGGAGTCCATTATTGTACCAATTTACAAGAAGGGTGATAACACTGATCGTAATAATTTTTTAGGAATATCACTGTTATCAACTCATACAAAATTTATCCAATACTCTTCTCTCAAGGCTAAGATCATAGGTAGACAAAATTATTGCTCACCATCAGTATGGTTCTTGATGTAACAGACCAACTACTGACCAGATTTCTTGCATTTTTCATATACTAGAGAAAAATTGGGAGTACAATGACAGTACTTCAGCTATTCACAGAATTCATGAAAGCCTATGATTCAGTTGGAAGGGAGGTACTGTACAATATTCTCGCAGAGTTTGGGGTACCCATGAAACTAGTTAGGCAGATTAAAATGTACAGAACTATTAGGCTTATTCTGGACTCTATCCATCATCTGGTATATATATATATAAGACAAAAAACCACAATGTTTCGGACCTCTATCCTGCCCCATCCACCTGAGGATGGAGACAGATCCAGTCTCTGAAATATTGTGGTTTTTTGTCTTATATATACCATATGATGGATAGAGTCCAAAATAAGCCTAATAGTTCTGTACAGCATACACCATCATCAGAACCTTTCAAGTCTATTTGATTAAAATGTGTTTAAATGAAATGCATAATAAATTCTGTAGGTAAACATCTGTCTGCTGATTTTTCCTACACAAAACGGCCTAAAACCAGATGCTTTATCACCACTGCTTTTCAACTTTGCTTTAGAATAGGCCATTAGGAAGGTTCAGGAAAAACAAGGTGGACTGAAATTAAATGGGACATATCAGCTGATGTACATCAATTGGGAGGTAACATAAATACCATTAAGGAGGCTGGTATAGAAGTAAATGCAGAGAAGACTGTACTCATATATCCTGATGTCTCGTCACCAGAATGCAGGGCAAAATCATGACAGAGAGGTACTTAACAGATCATTTGAAAATATGGCACAGTTCATATATTTGGGAACAACAGTAACAAATCAAAATCTGATTCAGGAGGAAACTAAGAGGAGAGTGAATTTGGGAAATGTTTGATTCCATTCAGTCCACGACCTTTTTGTCTTCTCATCTGCTGTCTAGAAACATAAAAATCTGAATATACAAAACTATGAATTTTCCCGTGGTTCTGTATGGGTGTGAAACTTCGTGTCTGACATTAAGGGAGAAAGACAGACTGAGGGTGTTTGAGAACAAGGTGAGCTTTATAACTTGTATGCTTCACAAAGTATTATTAGAATGATCAAGTTAAAGAGGTTGAGATAGACAGGGCATGTAGGATGCACGGGGGGTGAGAATTGCATATATACTTTTGATGGGAAAGCCAGAAGAAAAAAGACCACCAGGAAGACCTAGACATAGGTGGAAGGATACTATTATGATGGATCTTAGGGAGATATGATGGGGTAGCATGGACTGAATTGACCTGGCTCAGGACAGGGACCAGTGGAGGGCTCTTGTGAACACGGTAATGAACAACTGTGCTGCATAAAATGCTGGGAAATTCTTGAGTAGCTGCACAACTGGTGGCTTCTCAAGAAGGGCTCAGCTCCAAGGAGTTAGAGGAATACTTCAAAACTGTCTTGCTCCTTGACCAATTTCTGTTTCTTCTTGCTGGTAACATCTCCTGTCAGCCTCATTTAGGAAATGGCCAGAATGTTTAACTTGTAGGTTATGGAGTTTACATCATTAACATAAATTACATTTAATTTGGAGTTCTAAGACTGGCCATTAATTTACTTCAGTTACCCTCACTCTGTGTAAAAAATAAGAAAGCAATTGTTTTCATCCTACTTCATAAAGATATAACTGTGGTAAAAGATTAATGCTTGGATGCTACACCATAAAAATGTTTTCCTGTCAAGTTGTCTGCACAGAGTTCTAAATACCTTCATCATGAAAATAAGATATTGGCTAATTAATTAAGTACAGATAATATTTATTATATTTATATCAGCACAAACACTTATTTCCACTAGGTGGAGTTTGCTGTCTAGGATGACATGTTTCAGGACATTTGCCATATTCAGGTCCGGTTTCTAGTTTACAATTAATCTTTCATGTACTTAGCATAAATTTTCAATGTAAACCAAGAGGATCCATCAGTGTGTTATACACTATATATATGTACTATATTATACACCTAATGTTCGTTTTATCTTGGTTAACACTGTAGCTATAAAACATATAATACGATATCTACAACTTCAGCAAAATAACTGCAATATTAACCAGGATAAAAATCAACTAATTTTAGTATATAATAGTAGTGTGACGTATTTGCGCTATGCAGGACGCCCCCTCCCCTGACAGCGGTGGCGTAACAGTGCTGTCGCTACTACAGTGACAGGCCGGTCAGTGTTCTGCCCCCTCCCCTGCAGTGACGTGGCAGGTGACAACATTGACATAGCGGGGGATGCCGCGGTTGCTATGCAGCAATAAACAACTCGATAGCGTTCCCAGAAACACGTGTAAACAAGGCGACTAGGCAACAGGGAAGCGACGCGCTTCCTGTTGTCTGGCTGAGGGTTTATAAGAGTACTACACTGCCTAAGGAGTCGGTTAAAATGCAGCAGCCGCCGAAGACAGTTGAAATATAGCATCAGTCATGGAAAGAAGAACTGGACGCGTGGTTAGAAGATTTTATAGTGTGTGATAACTGAGAAGTCAGCAAGTGAAGACTTATTGTGTGACTTCAAGATTGTGTGCTGTAGCAGTTATATTGGGAGTGTGTAATTAAGAGAGATTTGTATAGCTCCCGAGTTATAAATACGTGAAGACTACTGAAGAGTTTGTTGTGTAGGGTTTGTAGATTGTGTAAACCCGCAACAGTGTTATAAGTATTTGTAGTTACGATTTGTAGGTTGTTAAATAAACCAATTAACAATCTGAAGAGGGTCTTCGGTGGCAAAACACGTTACAGTATATACAGTGTGTAACATAGTTGTGGATCCACTCTATTTACATGAAACATTATGCTAAGGACTTGATAGCATAACTGTATGCTAAAAACTGGACTTGAATATTGCACACATGTGCTGAAACATGCTGTCCTAGATAGTAGCATTATTATTATTATTATTATTATTACTGGAGGGGGTGGGTTTCCCCATGCACCGTGACCAGTTGTTGATCTATTGTATGACCCCCTTTGATATTCTACCAGTCTCCATACCCTACCGGTACTGGTGCATGTTATCAGCCCCGTTGCGCCAACGAGGTCGGCCCTCGGTACCTTGATACTTCCCCCATCTACCAGAGGCATTGGAAACTACTTGGGCGGGAAATTGTTGCCTAATTTAGCTCAGAGGTCTCCCAGAGACATGAGGTTCTTTTACATGCCATAAATCTACGACATGGGACACATGGCTTAAAGTCCCTCCCGGAGGACTTGTTCCCTGAATTTTTCTGCCCTTAAAAATTCCACGACCTCCGCCGGGTTTGAACCCGCGTACCTTGAGTCATGAGGTGGGAACGTTACCCCTAGACTATGGAGGCCGCTTAGATAGTAGCATACTCCACCTGTTAGAATAGTGTTTATGCTGACAGAAATAAAATGTTATCTGTAGTAATTTACACAACAGGGTGCAACAAAATATGAATGTCTTCACTTCTCTCATTCTGTATATTGCATCAGCGAGAAGCTGCAAAATGTACAGAATGACTCTTTAAAAGTAAGCGTTTGTCCTTGGATATAAATATGTAGTAGGTGTCTGTTACAATGCAAATTAATAATTACATTTTAGATTACTCTGAACTTCTTCCATAAGATCAGTATTAAAGACTTAAGAGTAGGTGGCAGACTCTACTAAGGGAAATTCTTTGTACATGATTCAGTCAGATGAAATTGGATAATTTATTTGACTTTTTTTTTCAGTAAATTCGGAAATTTCTTTTTCCAAACAAAGTTAACTGATATGTATTCTTACATTATATGATGAATTACTTTCTACATATAAAATAAAAATTATTTTCCATCACAAATAATCAAGGATCCAAACAATTCACACATATGATCAAGTGTTTTCTATATATATATATATATATATATTAAAAACCAGTCTGTACTTCCTTCCACATCCTTGGAAAATATTTATACACATGCCTACACATTAAAGCTGGTAGTCTCATTACGAGGATCAGAAGTAATGCTGTTTCTTAACCACCAAAGCTGGTTGTGATGACAAACGCTGGTTTTCAAAACCTAAAAACAGATTTATAAATGGCATGAATACACATACACGAACTATATGCTACTTGAACACACCACACCGGCAGTCACAATTATGGCTCTCTTGTAGAATTTTGCATCTGAAAATATAAGTACATAGAATTATGAGAACCACATATTAGTCTTGCATAAAGTTTAGGCCCAATATTTTCACTCATAAATGTATTTTTGTCTGAAATATGGCAAAAAATACAGCTTCTTTCTATAACAAGGGAATATCTAGTAATGACTTGAGGGCATGACTCAACATTGTCCTTCCAGAGATCAAATATTTATTCCATGATCTGCTCATTAATGCCTTTACTACCTCATAAATCCTCACCCAAAATCATAACAAATGCACTTCTTGTGAAACATTACACTACAGCTCATTTATGTACCTGATTAAACTTCCTTCACATCTCCAAAAATTGTTCACCTTTTAGACCTTTAACACAATGGTCTTCAGGTGTACAGATTCCTGGTTTATAAAACCTCTCCTAAGTTTTAATGATGTCAAAATTGTCATAAATTCCTTTCATTTCCATTTTTTTAAGTACACTGATCAGTTTTAACCCAAAGGACTCAGCAAAGGTATTCTTTCATACATACTGCCCACATACTTGCATAACTATTGGTATATGTAGTTGCAACTAGGACCAAAGTGGCAAGCAGAATACAGATTTTCTGAAAACAAACATCATCACAAAAATGTTATGTACCATATAGGGTGTCATTGAAAGGTATGGACAAACTCCGTGCAAGATTTTCACACACCAAAACAATAAAAAATGTCCATATGAACATGTGTCCAGAAACATTTAATTTGTGAGTTACACCTGAAAACGTAGTTTGTAGTAAGTGCTCGAAATGTCCTCAATGAGATTCAGTGCATGCCTGGACGTTTATTCATGGATCACTGCATCTATTCAAAGATGATGGAGTAGTTTCAGATAGTCTGACAGGTGGTATAATTGTATATTATGCACATAAATATGGTATTACTTCTTTCTCGTAGTTGTGTGTGTGCATAAGCATGCCATTGCCACAACTCCTTTTACAGTATGCGCCAAAAGACAGTACTGAAACTAGCGCATCTCGAATGCACATGGGCGTTAGTCGACGGGGCATAGCTCCAGCTGCACATGTTCCGAGTAGTGAAAAGGAAGTTGTGTTGTGCAGTTGTTGGAAATGGGTCTCTTGTAGGAGAAAAAAGTATTCATAGTTCTGTATTACTTCTGCTCATATGGAAGTGGTCGCCAGACAACTTGCTTCCTTGGTTTTGAGCGGCCAGATGGTATCGTCCAGAAACCGCTACATAATACACGTGTGACGATATGGTGTGCCGTCTCAGCACACGGTATATTAGGCCCCTATTTCATTGAGAATGAGGAAGGCAATGCTCTTACCATCACCCAAGAATGCCACATGGATATGGTGATCGGACCATTTCTTCAGGAGTTGAGAAGGTTCTGTCATGCAAGGGGCCTTCACATGAATAGAGAGTGGTATCAACAGGATGTCTTTTCATTTCAGTACTGATTATTTTGGCGCATACAGTATTATACTGTTACTTGCAAAACATATATTTTAAATTGTTAAAATCATTTACAAATTACCATACATATCTTTTCATGTTAAAAGTTATAAAGTGTTTCTCTTTGCTACTGTATCTTGGACTTGCTCTGGGATCCACCCAGCTTATTATCCAGTGAGTGCTGGGGAATCATTCCCCAGGGTTATAGTTAAGTGGGCAGAGCATGAAGCTGACCATCCATTTCCATCCAGTGCTGAGATTTACAATACATGGAGCTTCATCTCCATTTTCACTATATACATTCATAATGGCATGATTCAGGGGAGACTACAGACAGGGGATGGATTGGTAAATGGATTTACTGACCATTTATACACACCACTTTGAACTACACGCACTTAACAATGCTATCGCTGATCTACACACTTTACAAATCACTAGAGCACATGCTAAGTCTTCTCAGTCTCCACTAGTTGTATCCTGGCAATGGATTTTAACAGTTATTATAATGGTCTCACTCTAATGACAGTACACATAAAGTCTTCTCTTCACAGCCAAACTTTCAACTGACTATAGTGCCATCTCTTCTTCTCCTCCCTTGCAGAGCTCAACTGAACTGCCAACCCTCAACTAACTGGACTGCCCCAATTGTCATCCTTATAACCAATTTGCATGGACTGGATAAAAGAACTCTGTTTCCAATAATAGCTCTATTGTTGTGTTTGTTTTGCAATGGGAATACATTTACTGCTCTGTTGCCTAGAAACAAGTGGCATCACACAATTGTTTATCTGCCTATTGCATATCAATGGCTGTACACATTATAATAGTATGATGTTTGCCTTTATCACTCATGATTTGATCAATAATTGGCACCTGTCATTACTTACCACCACGCTGAGGATTAATGCTTGCTGCAACTGTATCAACATCAACACCTGGTGCTTGCAACCAAGCTCTACTGCCAGAAGCATCCATTCCCTACAGAAATGAAATAAAAAATAAACAAAACTAGTCCAGCTGATAGTTCCAAATGAATTCATACTCAATATTCCTTACCTCTTGATCACGGATGTGTGAGTTCTGCGCATCTCCACTGCCTGGAACACACAAAACATTTTATTAATTAAAATACGTGTTTACCAGATAACTTAAAGTAGGCCACATCTTCATCAACCACTTGCCCTCAGCTAAATTGTTACTATCACAACCTCAGTATCTGAGGCAGTATTACTCGTACTAACAGTCAGATCACTAGTTGAAAGTACAGTAGAATGCTGATTATGTGAATTGCCAATTAACTGAATCACTGCAACCAAGGAATGCATCTGCTAAACAAACATCATTGTTGGATTTTTCAAATGAAATGTTTGAAAATGTTAATTTTTCATGTTTCACTTGATTTAAAAGGTTTTTGGTTTTTATTATTATAATGGTACAGTACATTATATGGGGCACATGGTACTATAGTTGGTTGAGGCACAATGCTACAAGCTGTTAGGTCACGGGTTCAATTCCCAATGAGATCACTGGATCCTTCCAGCAACACTATGGCTCTGGGGTCAATTCAGCCTCTAACAGAAATGAGTACCAGGAATCTTCTTGGGAGAAAAGGGGGTGCCAGCCAGCGCATAAAGCTGACAACCTTATTGCCATGAGTGAGCCGATTGTCCAGAATAGATTGTCCCTATGGGCCAACACAGCCTGTTACAGGGATAACTTTACCTTTTTACCATATAGTACATTATAATGGTGTTATAATAGTATTTCATCTTGGATAAGAATTCAATCAAATTATCTGAATTTTTGATTATCCAAACCAAACTTTGTCACTAATTAATTCAGATAACCGGTGTTCTACTGTACCATCTCTTTCTGCTGTAACTAAATCCATTGGACACTCTTCTTCACTGATTGGTAATACAGGGTGATTCATATAGAACCGGCCTGATGAAATGAGCTGTAATATGAAATATACCATACAGATATTAAAGTAATTTACACATACGAGGGGGTACCCAAAAGAAACCGAACTTATTTTTTTTT